CACACACACACACACACACACACACACACACACACGCACACACTTAATTTCCAGTGATATCGTCTACTTGATTGCACAGATACTATTCAAACTTAACTGAGCTGGATGATGACATCACTGAATTCAATGATGAACTGCCTTTAAATGAAAACTGAGTGTTTACTATTGTCATTTTTGCATTATTGAAAGCTTTTGGCTTTTCTCCTGAGGCCACAAGAGGGCGCATCGAACAAAATAATGCACGTTTCTTCAAAACAATAAAATAACACAACTATCTTTGAAAAAAAGTGCATAATATTTAAAATAATGTTTATAAACCTGATACAATTAAAGCTGCTTAAACAATTAGAAACAAAACAGCATCATGCATGTATGTATAGTTTAACTAATTAATGCTGTAAAGCTGCTTTGACACAATCTTTATTGTTAAAAGCGCTATATATATATAAAGGTGACTTGACTTGCCAGAGCAGGTGAGCTTCAGCAGGTGTCTGGTAACAGGTGTGTGTGTGTGTGTGTTATTAGGGCTGTCAAAATGGCTGAAAAATTCAAATTTTCTACTTAAATATCAATATTCGAATTATATTCCAATTTAAAAGGCATAATTTCAGTTAGGGGAGAAAAAAGCTTTTGGCTTTTCTCCTGAGGCCACAAGAGGGCGCATCGAACAAAATAATGCACGTTTCTTCAAAACAATAAAATAACACAACTATCTTTGAAAAAAAGTGCATAATATTTAAAATAATGTTTATAAACCTGATACAATTAAAGCTGCTTAAACAATTAGAAACAAAACAGCATCATGCATGTATGTATAGTTTAATACAAAGGTCCGAAAACCAATCACAAAGAGTAGGCTACTTTCTTCCTTTAAAAACACAAGACAAGGCTCGAAATTGCGACTATTTTGGTCGCATATGCTCCCGAAATTTAATCTGTGCGACCTCAAAATTGGTGCTCCTAACTTTTTGAAGTTGGGAGCACCAGTGCTACCAAGTAAAAAAGTTAATTTCGAGCCCTGTAAGATGAAGTGGGATGGGGAAAACCACCATAACGTCTTGAGACATGTTTTTAAAAAGTTGAACTTATATTAATTTTCCATGGCTTTCTAGACATGCCGCTCTCTTGTGCGAGATGCGAGTGCAACGCTGATAGATGTCCCGCTAGAAAACGCGATAAATATGCGTGGCTTGGTTTCAGTTTTGACGTAAACAACATTATCTCCGCATTGATGTTCTCTTTTTCTGCAATATTTTGAATGAACAACGCAGCAGCGCCGCATCTAGTGGCTTCAACTTGATAGACTAATAAAAGCATTAAAATGCAACGACACTTACATCGTCGTCACATTTCGCGCTTCACTGATAAGCTGCCTGACGCACACCTAAAATTAGAATGCAACGTTTTGGCATTCGAATGTGGGTTCTTATTTTAAATTCGACAAATATTCGAAATTAAAAATTTTTTTTGACAGCCCTAGTGTGCGTGTGACTGATAAGCTGCCTGACGCACACCTAAAATTAGAATGCAACGTTTTGGCATTCGAATGTGGGTTCTTATTTTAAATTCGACAAATATTCGAAATTAAATTTTTTTTTTGACAGCCCTAGTGTGCGTGTGAGGCTCACCTGTACTCTCTCTTGCTCAGGTCGGTGTAGCGGACCGTGTCGTCCATGCTGCAGGTCACCAGACGTCCGGACTCGTCCACAGTCATCCTGGACACCAGGTTTGAGTGTCCTTTACCCACAAACTCCTCGTTCTCGCCGCTCTCAGAGTCCCAGTAATGTGCAGCTCAGGTCAAGGACTGACACTCTCACCACAAATCACATCTCTGCCATATTCTAACGGGAACTACACTATATTTTGCATGTTTTTGGCCTCTCGTGATCAGCTGAGCAGTAAGTTTTCCATGTTCTGTGTGCTGGTCAGTTCACAGCTGTCACAGAAACTAACTCAACAAACGCTACATAAGCCACCTGAATGGATTTCCAGGTGATTTTTACCAAAATAAGGGCAGTTGTAGATGTATACATTATCTTTCATGTCAAATTTTTACATCAATAAATTCAGTTCAAATAATAAAACACTATAAGCTTTTAACAATCAATTAAAATCCATATCAACAAAATTCATCTTTGCACTTCAGAAGCTGCATTTGATGTGGCATTTACAGTTTCATTCAGCTTGAGTTCATTTATGTTGCATAATTCTATAAGATTCTTAATGATTTTTATGTAATTAAATGATGCTTTAAATAAGAAACTAAAACCATCAGTCAGTGGCGGCGAGTCACTGAATCATTCACTCAACTGATTCATTCAAACACAGATTAATTCAGTAACAAAGCACTGCTGTGTGTTGTTCAGAGATGCAAAACAAAATATTGACAATAATGTGTCACCATATTGACTTGCTGTTGTATAAAATATCACATTTGCAAACATGCTGATATTCGGGAAAACAGCAAAATTGCTCGTAATATTGATTAACTATATCATATGGACGTACAGTGGTGGCCAAAATGATTAGAACACTAGTATTTTCAGCAGCTAGAAATAAAAATTGGTGTCATTCGAACTGCTCTCTGCTGTACTACATCATGCGTTTTGTTTGTTTATTGCAAAGTGAGTAACATATTCAATAATGTCAGCTTCTCCTCACTGAAGGATATTAATGTGTCCGTCGTGGCTGGCTGAGTAGATGCTGGATCGGCCGTCCGCCTTATGGACCGTCAGACACTGGATGGATTTGGTGTGTCCCTGAGTAATAACACAGTAATAACACGTCACTCTGCTGATCTCAGAGCAGCTGAAGCAGCAGGCGGTGTCTCACCTTGATGGTGCGCAGCGGCCGGTCCGGGTTGCTCCTGTCCAGGTAGTTGATGTATCCAGACAGAGAGACACTGAGCAGGTGGTTCTTCTGCCACAAGCAGCCCAGCTGCTGGTCCTGAACATCTGAGCCCAGGTTAAAGGTGGAGACAGCCACGCCGCTGCCCACATCCCACAGTCTGACCGTCTTATCACCTGACGCCGAGATCAGCTGCGTGCTGTCAGGACTCCAGCTGACCTGAGGAAGAGGAGCATCATCATCATCATCATCATCATCCTCCTGCATCACACTGACGAACACTCACAGCGTAAATGCCTCCATCGTGAGCCTTCTCTCCTCCCAGAGAGCCCAGCTTCTCTCCAGTTTTACCATCATACAGGAAAATCTGAGCAGGAGACAGAAACAAGCGTGAACAATGCAAAATAAAAGCTCAACACTTAATGATTGAAAAAAAAAATAAAATAAAAATAAAATTAATAATATGTAAATATCAATATTTTTTTAACATTTTTTTAAATTAAATACTCAATTTTCATTATTCAATATTTTACTTTAATAATGTTCATAATTTTAAAAAATCCTAATTTTAATTAGAATGCTAATAGAATAAAGTTATTATTTTTAATTAAACTAATATATATATGATGATGATATTATTAATGATATATAATCACAATATTATTTTTGCAATTTTAAGTTGTGCAACCCTACAAACAAGAACAGCAAACCTGAAGCTCTTTAAACCAAACAAACAAAAAACGCTTTTAAATTTTAAATAAATAAATAAACTGCAATGACATGTTTTTAACCATATTGCTGCAGCCTGTGCTAATGCACTACAAGTCACTTCAGAAGAGGCTCCTGTCAAATGAACAAATGTGAAGGTCTGTTAATTATCAGGATAAACGCCTCACCTGTCCGTCGGCTCCGGCCGAAGCGTAACGATTCCCGTCCGGAGAAAACCGCACGCAGTTCACGAAGCGACTGTGATCCTACAAACCAACATCACAGCATTCACTCTGGGCTTACAGTAGAAAGATGAACATCTGAATAAACTATCGTAATGCGAGCGCAGCTTCGCTCTAGAGTCAGTAACTTGTAGTAAAATATATATTTTTAAATTATAATCAGGGTTGCAAAGGGCTGGAAATTTTGAAAAGATTTTTGGAAACTTTCAGAAAATTTAAGAAATTTACCAGAAATTTGCCGCCCCTTTTGCAACCCTAATTATAATTATCAAATATTAATTTTTAATCGATTTTAATTAATACATTATTTTTTTTATTTCAAAGTACATTTGTAATTTATAACAGTAATATATATGTCTTCTTTTTTTAGAATAAAATTTTAAACAATAATATAATAGTAATTCCAGTCCAAACAAAGTCAAAATAAAACATAAAAAAAATAAATAAATGCATTGCATGTAATATGTGACCATTACCTCACATCAGAAAACTGTGAACATGTTTAGCTGTTGTTAAATTATTAAAACATTAACAAAATAAAATTAGAACCCCTGGCATAAAGCATACTTTGGATTTTATGCATGATTTTAAATTTTTTTAGCTGCTCCACAAGTTGTTCTCGAGCCGTTGCTGCACAGTTGAAAACATAACAACGACAAACTACTAGAGATGCAAGAACACATACAGAAGCGTTCATGAGCGTGTGTGAGGCGCTTCAGAGATTCACGCAAATCTAGTTTAAAAGAGCGCATTTTTAATCGCTCATAACTTATGGAGAGTTATAGTGAAACCAGTGCATTTGTTCGGCTGAACGAGTACGCTAGTGTTTGCGTGGAAACGGAGGTATATTGAGTAATGTAAGAATGCATGCACTTACGCTAATGGTGCATTTGAACTTGAAAGGAGGCCCCTCGAGGAAAGTGGTGCAGTTGTCGTCGCTGCCGGTCACCAGACGATACGGCCGCGTCTGCTTGATGTCCACGCTGTTGATGATCTTACTGTGACCCACGATCTCTCCGACCGACGAGCCCGAATCCCAGAGGAAAACCGCGCCGAACCTGCGCAGACACACACATCAGCAGCGCTGGGGAAGTTACTTTTAAAAGTGATGCGTTACAATGTTGCGTTACTCCCTAAAAAAAGTAACTAATTACGTTACTTAGTTACATTTTATGGAAAGTAATGCGTTACGTTACATTTGAGTTACTCTTTAAATCTGGGCGGGGCTTGCTTGTTTGTTTTTAACATAAAAAGTTCTTCTTTTACAAACGTAAAGCCCTTTCACACCAAAAGTGAAGTGAATGCGCCTCAGGCTGAAGGAAATGTAAATTCACGTCTGTACAGTAGAGGGCGCCGCTCAAACTAATCACAGGAGAAGCAAGTTCAACACTATTCAGCAATAACTAAAATTATACACAAATGTGTTATGTTTGATTATTATTATGGTTGAAGTGGATCATCGAAGCTCAGTAACGAAGACATTGGTTAATAAAATGGGATTAAATACATATTGCGTTACTCCCTAAAAAAAGTAACTAATTACGTTACTTAGTTACATTTTATGGAAAGTAATGCGTTACGTTACATTTGAGTTACTCTTTAAATCTGGGCGGGGCTTGCTTGTTTGTTTTTAACATAAAAAGTTCTTCTTTTACAAACGTAAAGCCCTTTCACACCAAAAGTGAAGTGAATGCGCCTCAGGCTGAAGGAAATGTAAATTCACGTCTGTACAGTAGAGGGCGCCGCTCAAACTAATCACA